CAGCTGAGCACCGGACATGAGAAAACTCTGTCATTAAAAGGTGCCCTTGCAGGATTGAGCCTGTCCCTGGATCAGCCCACGAGCCCTCCTTCTCCACGCCCCGAGCTTTGCGCCTCCCCTATAGGTCACTCACACCGAGTACTGAGACAAGTGCCACCATGGTCAGCTGTGAATTAGCTTTTACCTGCAAAGAACCAACATTAGGGACACTACTCAAAAGTCTTTCAAATGCAATTGCTCTTAACTTCGACTGTCACTAGTCACAAATTATCAGAAATTATTTTTGCATTGGTGAAACGCCAGGTAGTCAATGCATGGAAATTGACTGGGCATGTTTTACAAGTACACTGGCCTTGAACTCTACTGGACATCTATTTTATTTATGCCCATTGTAAAGCTATCATGCAAGTTGCTTTTCAGATAACCCAAAAAAGAAAAGGAGCTAAACTTCACCAAGAAAATAGACAAATGGTGTGACTGTGTTGGTATCTGCAAGCTAACAAATGCTCTCTTAAATTTCAAAATTCAACCGTAAGTTTGCTTCACTGCTTCCACTGAAACATATTCACCTCGCGTTTGAGTAATAGGAAAAGAGACATAGCGTTTCTACCTACATTTAATCACTGGAAGTTAGTAACTGCCTTCACTACCAAAGAAAGCATATTGTAAAGGAGCAATGTAGCTAATGGCAGTCTGCAAAACTACTGTAGTGATGGTAGAGTGTCTCTGCACCTGTGTGTGGAAACAGAGCTGAGTGTTATGGTCAGACAGGGGCTGCCCTCAAGGATCTCCCATTATGGAAAGGCAGAATTCAAGACCATGAAGCTTTCATGATTTCTCATTTATACCAAAGGAACTTTAAGAAAAATGTTAACTGTTATTTTATTTAATCTTATGCATAAAATATTTGAATATCTATTTTCAAACCCAGTAATATCTCTTAGTGGCTAGTTGTGCTAATTCCTAATTCCCTTGCATTTTTAATTTTTCTGAAGAGAAAATCACATTTTCTAAAATACACTCTTGGTATTTTTTTTTAACATCAAAAGCATATTTGTGTTTGTTCTTAGAAGTTAATCTTAAAGCATATTATAGCTACGACTGCCACCAAAGTGAAAGACAGAGTGTGTTTTAGAGCACTTCAGATTTCATCTTATTAACTGATCATAAATCACTGCTTGCCATTTATATGCTAATTCTGATAAGGCCAAGAAAAAAAAAAACCTCAGGTCCTTTGTTGAGGAAAACATTCCTGGTACTGAATCTTGTCAAAATAACTCCCAGCTTTGTGAAAGTGTAAAAGGAGACAGAAGCTGCATAATATTAGATCATTCACAACTTGACACTCTTGCAGAGTAAGCTACATATTTTTAAAAATCAAAGGTCAGATGTCAAACCTTTCAGACTAAGTAATGATTTAAGAGCCCCTAGTCACAATTTTTTAAGCACACTGTGGCTTCTAATACTTTCTACTATTAACCCTTTATACATGAAGAGACATACAAATAAGCAGCACATTATTTATTTAAATTTGGAAATAGCTACCTAGTCTTTAAATCTAGTTTACCCACATTTTATGTAATAATCCTACTCACAAAAAAACTGTCCAACTATCAAATATTTGTGGAGTATAAATTTGAACTTCACTATGAGTCCTTATTTAAAATAATAGCATCTAAGATACTCATTGAAAAAAATCCTTATGTAATATGAAAAAATCACTTGTACTAAGTGGTTGGTGCCCTGGGATATTAAGCTTATGTTTGAATTATCTCAAGTGCACCTAGATTATCCAAAGATGGAGCAACATAGATTTTTATGCCCAGTAATCTAGCTAAGACTCATGAAAATTTAAATTTGTTGATATTCTTTATAAAAGGGCTGGAGTAAAGCTCATAAATAAGCTACTATTTTTGTATCTTTTTAGGGCCTCAGCAAATCCAGGATTGAAAAGGCCAGCTAAAGAAAGGTTGACCTATTTTCTCCAAGACAATATGACTGTCATTCACAGTGCTTTCACCAGGGAAGGAAGAGCTTCGAGATGTGACCATGTCATTCAGGTTGTCTCCAGAGCTATGAAACAGCATGCGTACTCCAGGCCACCAAATGGTTCCTATCCAATTCAAAGTCTGTTTCCCTCCAAAGTAAAATCTGTCAGCATTTTCAGAGGCATTTTAAGGACAATTAATTATAAAGCATTCTTTTAAGAAACACAGAAGAACGGATGAGTTAGACTTTCCAAAATGTCATAAACTGAGTGAATTATAACGGTCATGAATTTTTTTAGGTGTTTTTGGTCATGGAAGTTTCTTTCTCCATTGATTTTGAAAGATAATTTTGTGGGATATATCAATCTAGGTTGGAGGTTGTTTTCTTTTAGGGCTTAAAATACTTCACACCAAGTTATCCTTGACTTGAAAGTTTGTGTTGAGAAGTCTGCTGTGATCCTGATGGGTTTTCTTTTATAGGTAATTTGTTTCTTCTCTCTAAAAGCTTTTAATAGTCTGATCTCAAGGGGGCTGGGGATTTAGCTCAGCGGCATAAGCGCCTGCCTTGCAAGCAGGCAGTCGTGAGTTTGATCCCTGGTACCGATGAAAACCAAAAAGACAAAAAAAAAAAAAAAAAAAAAAAAATAGTCTGATCTTGTGTTGAATTTCTAGCATCCTGACTATTAAATGCCTTGCTGTAGATTTTGTGTGTGTGTGTGGAGGGGGGTCATGGCTTATTGGAATTCTGTATGCCTCAGTTATCTGTAGTCAATTTTTTTTTCTATAGTGGCTTCTTTGAACAGGTTTTTATGTTGTCTACACAATCTCCTTGCTTTTTTATTGATTCTGGTCAATCTTATGTTATTCTTCTTTGCATCAACAGTTGATTGATTCTTCATGGTCCCTTGTCATTTTTATGAAATCTTGTCATTTTTATGAAATCTTTTTTTATGAAATCTTGATTTTCAAGATCATTGATCACAATCCTGTTCTAGATCTGAAAGTCTATCCTCACACTGGCTCATTCTGCCTCATATACTATCAGTGGAATTTCTAATCTCCTAGACATTTGTTTGGATCTGTGTTGTGCATTCCATTTCTTTCATATTTTGGGCATTTATGGTTTCCATCACCTCCCTAAGCTTCTCTATATTTTTTATCTGTATCTGCTCTCAAGTCACTAACCATGTTGTTCATTATGGTCACCAAGTGAGTAGTTACCTAAGAAATTATTCCTGATTTGATTTTTTGAGCCTCACTGATCTGCTTTGTTACTTCCACTGTTACTACTTCAGAGTCCAGGGCGGTGGTTTTCAAATTGTTCCACTTCATTGCCCCCTGGCTTTGCCTTTAGCCAGCTGGAAGTCTGAGGTTGCATCTTGCTTAAGTGTCTTCTCATTTTATTTTATTTCTTTAATTTAATTCCTGGTTGATGCTTATAAATTGCTTATGGTAGTTTGTTTTATTGCTAGAATTTAGAACCTTTAGGAAATGACTGTCTCTCATAGATGCCTTCCAGGTGTTCTTGGCTTTTAGGTTTTGAGTCTGTTGCAAGATCCTATTTCTTCAATTTATTGGAAATGAGAAGTTACTGCCCATTTGGCCTAGTCCCTGGCTCTTTGACATTGACCTATAGTATTGTTTATAATCCTTGGGCAACCTCAGTCTTTGCATACCAGGAAGAACAGCAGAGTAGAACAATTATGTCACCTTGGGTGGCTAAAGTAGTACAACCAACAACAAGAACAGCATCAAACAGCCCAGAAAATGACAAACTGGAGTAACTATTAGTAGGTCACCCTTAATCGCATGAACATTTCATGGTTATATATTGAATTCTAAAGACAATTTCTTTTTATTGTTTACAATAAATTGTATACAATACATACACCCTCAATACAGTGATTTTATCCTCAGGGAAGGATTTATAAGGGATTAGAGGGGAAAATAGAGAGATAAAAGAAGAAAAGAACAAAGAAAGTACTCAAATTTAGGAAACTGGTGAAGAAGACAAAGAGAGAGAAGAAAGAAATAAAAACAAAGAACACAAAAACAACAAAAGAACTGGAAACAATGTTCACACTCCTATAAAAGCCAGAACAACTAAGAAAAAAGAAAATAAAACAAACCAAAAAAAACAAGAAAAGGAAAAATGTTCACTTCAGTGTGTGTCTCTTGCTGTACACTAGCAAAAAGAGCTTCGTTATGTTTGTGTTATGCCTAAGTAATATGACCAAACCCTCCCCTGTGTAAAGAATTGTAAATCACTGTTAGGGAGCCTAACCTAATTGATATGTTAACCATTGTTGCCCTCTACAAATAACAGATGTGGTGTTAAAATAAGCTGACAAAGGATTGTTAATTACTGCTAGACTTCTCTGTCCTCTGCTAAGGGAAACAAAGGTTTTCTTCATTTCCTTAGCAGATTTCCTGATCCATGCCCATAAGCCCTTACTTTGTATACTGTGCTTTCTACAAAAGGTCCGAAAAGTTTTGAGGGAGACACACAACTTTTGCAAATTCAACTGCACTGTGTCGCTGGGCCCAGGATAAAATAAATCAGTGCTGCTTTTTTTAAAAAAACAGCCCTGCCCCATTTTTTTTAACTCAAGTTTGGGGGCTGTGGGGGGCTCATTTGTGGATTATAAGATCTCTATTGTCACTGGTAGACAGAGTGGGCAGACAGACCCCTGACCCATGTTGATTAATCCCAACAAACCAGCCATAGATTTACAGGAAGGTAGTGGATAATCCCAGCAAGCCAGTACCTTTACTTCCACTGAAGTTCATGCTGGTTTCTGGATGTGAGGCTGGAACCCGATATGTTCAGTCTGCAATACTCTGTATGCCTTCTGCCAATTTGAACTCAGTGCTGTCACACCTTGACACTGGGAGCCACTAGATGTAGGGAGGTGGCAGCTGCTCTGAATTGCAAGCTCAGCTGTCCCATCTCCAAGCCAGCTACTGGCCAGTCACTCTCTCCTAAGAGATATCTGAGCCGAAATAACTCACCATTCATTGCAGTGCATTCTCTGCTCCATCGCACTGGTGCATTTCTCTGTAGAATCATCTGGGGCTTCTAGTTGTCACTGTGGGTCTGCAGGTTTGGGTAATCCTTCCCACATGGTGAATCAATGGTCAGGGATAAAACATCACTTGCCACCTCCTTGTTTTTCATTAAAGTCTCTTTGCTTTCTCCATGGACTTCAATTCTCATTTCTGATCCTTGCTGGGTCCTGAACACTCACTTTCCTCCTTCTCTTCCTCACATTGCTGTATTCCAGCATCTGGACACCACATATTAGAGAGACTGTTTTTCTGCTTCTCACTTCTCTGCCATTTTCCTTGAATCCCCTGAGTGGATTATAAACAACACACATTGATTTCCCACAGTTCTGGAGGCTGAGAAATTCAAGATCAAGGTCCTGGCAGACTCAGTGTCTAGCATGTTCACTTCCTTCTTTCTGGATGTATCTCTCCCTGGATAAGACAAGGTTGGTGTTTGGGGTCTCTTTCATAAGTATTAATCCTACACAGGAGGGCTCCCTATTATCCCCCTAAGAACCCCCATCTCTTAATGCTATCATCTTTAGGGTTGCAACATGTAAGTTTTAGGGGACAGAAAAATTCATACCATAACAGAGAGTACAATTTTCAAGACAACATTAGTGTTGGACCTTCTTTCAATTGGGGAAGCTGAGGCTGCACAAGGTGAGTTCCAGCTCACCAGTGTGGGCAGGGGGAGAGTTTAAGATCATCACTCCCAGCAGTGAATGGCCTGCCCAGGTTCCAGATACACTAATTAGGCAGGGGAGGTTTATCGGGCCCCACTACATCACACCCAGCAAACTTCTTTCAATCAAGGGACATGAGGGCACACAAGGTGAGTTCCAGCACATTGGCATGAGCCCCAGAGAGGTTTGGACTATGATCCACAGTGACTAGGAGCCCGTCCAGCTTCCTGGAACACCAGAGGTGGCAGGGGACATCCTGCAGGCCTGATTGCACCATGCTCAGCAACCTACATTTAGTCCCAGGAGCCAAGGGCATGGAGGAGATTTCCAACACGCCCAAGGGAAGCTTTAGAACATTACTTGAAACACAGAAGTATAGGAAACTGACAAAGGAAATATACGAAAAAACAAAATGCAACCTCAAACCTCCAGCTCATCCCAAGAAACCATAAGAGCCATGTACATAGAAGAAAATATAAGCCATACACGTGAAATACCTGGAATTATAGAAACTGAAATAAAGAAGCAACTCCAGAAAGCTTTAAAGGAAATAAAATTAAAAATAATCTCCCAGGTAAAAGAAGAAATGAAAAAAAGTAATGAAAGAAACGCTGAACACATCTAAAGAAGACACAATTTAAAAATTAGCGGAACAATGCAAAAAGATGGAATCCCTGGATAAACAATATAAGAAACAAAAAAATACATGAAGCAGATTCAAAGAAACATACAAAAAATCAAAAATTTTATTGAAAGCTGTCAAAACTGCCGCAACAAAAGTGAAGAGAGAATTTCAGACTTCGAAGACAAGATTGCAGCTAGTGAGCAGGAAGGAAAGATATTTTAAAAATAACAGGAAATCAGGAAATAATTTAACAGCTGCAAAATGATGCAAAGAAAAGCAACAAAAGATTAATAGGGATAAATGAAAAAGAAGGAGACAACACAAATGATATCAAGAGGCTATTTACAGAAGTAATAGTTTGAAAATTTCCCAAACATAAGAATAGAAACTGACATTCAGATTAGTGAAGCATATAAAATTCCATATAGCTATAACCAAAATAAAACTACACCCAGACATATAATAATCACCATCCCAGAAATCCAACATAAGAATAGAATATTAAAAGCTGTCAGAGAGAAAAGACAGTTCATCTATGAAGGAAGACCTATCAGAATTACAGCAGACTTCTCAGCAACCTACATTTAGTCCCAGGAGCCAAGGGCATGGAGGAGATTTCTTGACAATAAAGTCAAGAAGAGCATGAAGGAAGTATTTCAGATCCTAAAGGAAAACGATTTCCAACCTAGACTGATGTACCCTGCAAAACTGTCCTTCAAACTTAATGGAGAAATAAGATACTTCCATGACAAAGAACAGCTGAAGAACTTCAGGATCACCAAACCACCCCTGCAAAGAATACTGAAAGACAGTCTAGGTACACATAGGAATAAACCAGTAAGCATGGCAGACAATTAAATAGAATGGGAAGGTAAAAATACAACAGTAGAAAGATAGCGTATCAATAATAAGTCAATATATAACAGTTATAACTATTAATGTAAATGGACTCAATTCACCAATTAAAAGAAATAAACTGGCAGAATTGATCAAGAAACAACATCCAACCACATACTCTATACAAGAAGCCCATCTAACCCAAAAGGAAACTCAAAGACTGAAAGTCAAAGGATGGAAAACAATACTTCATGCAACAGGAACACCCCCCCCCTAAAAAAGAGAGGTAGCAATTCTGTTTGCAGACAATGTGAACTTCAAACCAAGAATGATCTGAACAGATAAAGAAAGTCACTACATACTAGTTAGGGGAAAGCTTCAAGAGGAAGAGATAAATATCTTAAATATATATGCACCAAATTCCAGAGCACTCAGCTATACAAAGCAAGTATTAACAGAAATGAAAAATCAAATAAGCAATAACACAATTATAATAGGAGACCTTAACACACCATTGACTCAAAGAGACAGATGAACCAAACAGAAAATCAGCAAAGAAATAACAGAACTGAATCACATCTGTGAACAAATAAACTTGATAGACATATACAGAGTGTTCCACCCAACAACACCAGCATACACATTCTTCTCAGCAGTACATGGGTCATTCTCTAAAATAGACCATATACTAGCCCACAGAATATATTTAAGGGAATGCAAAAAAATTGAAATTGTCCCATTCATGTTATCTGATCATAGTGCCATGAAACCAGAAATTAATGATAAAAGAAACTGCTAAAACCCCACAAACACATGGAAATTGAATAATACACTCTTGAGCAATCAGTGGTTCACAAAGGAAATTAAAGAAGAAATTGGAAAGTACCTACAAGCAAAAAAATACACATACAACTTACCAGAATCTGTGGGATGCAATGAAAGCGGCCCTCAGAGGAAAATTTATTGCACTGAGTTCCTACATCAGGAAAACAAAATCTAGAAAAAGAAGAGCAAATAAAGCCCAAAGCCAAAAGAAGGGAGGAAATTATAAAAATCAGAGCAGAAATTAATTCAATAGAGACTAAGAAAACAATCCAAAGAATCAATGGATCAAAGAGTTGGTTATTTGAAAGAATAAATAAAATTGATAAGCCCCTCAACCAATCAAATTGATAAGCCAATCTTATTTTTTTCATTTTTCTTTTTTTATTAAAAATATTTTTAAAAAGAAAGGAGATTAAGATAAAAGAGGACATAACAACATAATAACACAGGTCAGAACAGAACAATTTAAGCAACAGTGTTTCACCACAAGATAACCCAACATAACAGTGCCTGTTATGTCTCTTTCCTTGAAATACTGGAGTATAACTTCATATATTATAGCCTCAAACACAACATGACAGTGTAAAACCATTCAAGAGAATGAAAGTATTACAGGGTATTTAGAACAAACTAACAGAAAACAAACAATGCTTTCTATATTATCTCCTTATCTATAAAAAATTTTGTTTATACTATCACATATAATAAAATTCAATAAGATACAACATGATAAACCAATGGAGACAGAAGAACAAAAGCTTCAAGGGACTTCAAAACAAGATGATATTAAATCAGCATTAGCTATTATATTGTCTTTTTTCTTCAAAATAACTGTTCATACCATCACCAACAATAAAATTAAACAAGCCAGAATAAAACCATTCCCATTAATGAATAAAAATATTATAAAGCTTCAAAGCAATATAATGGGGAATCGTGTTTACCACATACTTTTACGTATTCTTACCATTTCTTACACTAGGGAAACTATTCGGTATTTATACATGTGAGTTTGATTTATTTCACTTATGAGTATGGTCTCAAGTTGTACCCATTTATTTATAAGTATCTCAATTCTTTATAGCTGAGTAGTACTCCGTTGTATAAAAATACCACAACTTTTTATCCAATCTTCAGTTAATGGACACTTAGGTTGTTTCCAAGATCTGGCTATTACAAATTTGTGCTGCTATAAACATGGGTGCACATATATCACTGTGGTATGATGTTTTCACTTCTTCTAGGAATATGCCTAGAAGTGGAATAGCTGAAACAGATGGGACTTCCAATCACAATATCTTGAGAAATCTCCACACTGACCTCCACAATGGTTGCACCAGTCTACACTCCCACCAACAGTCCAGATGAGTTCCTTTTTCCCCACAGCCTTTCCAGCATTTGTTGTTGGTAGTTTTCTTGATCCTGGCCATTCTTTCTGGAGTGAGATGGAATCTCAGTGTGGTTTTAATTTGCATTTCTCTAAAGAGTAATGATGATGTACGTTTTTCTTGTATTTATTTGCCATTTGTATTTCTTCATTGAGAATTGTTTATTCATCTTAGATGCCCATTTTTGTATTGGATCTTTGAATTTTGGGGGTCTGATTCTTTTTTTAATTCTTTATATGTTTTAGACACAAATCCTTTATAGGAAGAATGATTCAATAAGATTTTTTTCCCAGTTTGTGGGTTTTCTTTTCACTATGCTGGAGATTTCTTTTAACATGCAGAAACTTTTTAAGAAGAAGCGATCCCAGTTATTGATTCTGGGAAGTGTTTCCCATGTGGTTTGACTCCTGTTCATGAATTCTTTACCTACCCCAATGTCTTCAGGGTTTTTATCCAATTTGTCTTCCAATAGATTTAGTGTTTCTGTTTTAATATTCAGATCTTTGAACCATTTAGATTTTAATTTAGTACATAGTGATAGGCATGAATCTAGTTTTAGTTTTCAGCATATGGACAGCCAGTTTTTCCAACACCATTTATTAAAGAGACTCTGATTCTTCCAGTGAACATGTTTGGCCCCTTTATCAAAAATAAGGTGGTTGAGTGTGTTTGTAGTTGTGATTGTGTCTTCTAATCTATTCCATTGATCTTGGGCTCTGTTTTGATTCCAGTAACATGCTGATTTTACTACAGTTGCTTTGTAGTATAACTTCAAGTCAGGGATTGTGATGTCTCCTGACTTGCATTTGCTGCTTAGAACTGTCTGCTATTCTAGGTCTCTTCTGGTTACAGATGAATTTGAGGAATAGTTTCTCTAGATGCATGAGGTATGTGGATAGTGTTTTTATTGGGATTGCATTGAATCTGTATAGCAGTTTTGGGAGA